TTGCGCGCCCGCCGCGGGCTCTGCGTAGAGCAAAGGCACCCTCTGACAGAAGGCATAGCACTCGGAGCAGTAACACCTTCCCACCATCGAGGCTCTTCCCAACAGCCTACAAGAGCCAGCCCTCTTACCTCTGGTCAAGATCACTAGATGAGCACTTGAAATTTTTATTACTGTGCTAAGCTCATGATACAAATTAATCAAAAATCACTGAAGGCAATGCTGATGATTTTTGAGACTTGTGCAGGAACTTGCGTTTTTCAGATTAACAGGCAATGTAACTTCCACCAGTTAGCAACTGGTATTGGTTTCATAGTAGCATACACTCACCATAACCAAACTTATCCCTTTTCTACAGAAAAAAAGAGTGATCTACAACTAGAGATTAAATTTTAGCCAGTAAAAGTTAAAATGCCACCCCCTCCTCCCCCCTCCTTTTTTTTTCTAAACTTAGCTTGGACTCTTAAAAAAATGAAACTGGACTACAGTTCTTAAACATGTTCAGGTGAAATCCTGCAACATATTTACTGTCCTCCCACTCTCCATACATTAAAACACTTAAAATGTTACCAGTTATTCACAGGCACACAAGCCCTATATTCTTCCGAGCAAGTCGACAGGCATATTGGTAACTAAATAAGTCAGTCAGGCCACAGTATGTACAAGCAATAAATTTGCATGATTCACTTCCGGCCATTTCTATATTTCTGCAAACACGCTGGAATTAGTAAGATGTATGGTAATAAGTGACAGCAGGATTCTGTCCAGAGCAGGCTACAGTTCACTGTAAATTTCCATCACTTCCATAAGTAGCAGTACTTGTTTTGATTGTTTTGTGTTGCATAGCATGGACAGGCTAGTAAATGGGCTCAGTACAATTACAACCCCCCAAAATGGATGAAGGTAAAGAGGGATTTTTGCTTGGAGGGGTTGGGGATGTGTGTGGGGATTTCTTCTCTTTTCACTTGCATGAACCCACACCGCTAACATGATTAGATTTTTGCCTGAATAGGATTGAGTATGGCTTGAAGCAGGTGATTACCACTGTGCTGTAGAAGGGCCCTTCTAGCTCTGTTTTAGTGTCAGACAAATGTTTCACACTCCTGACTATGGGAGTCCATTTTGCTTGTTGCCACCGTAATCTTTTAAATTACAGCATCTTTCAAAAATATGAAGTGCCTACAAATTAAGCTTTTGCTCATGTATTAAGAATTTTAACTATATGCCTTTCCAGCAGGAACATGGTATTTCTGTACACCTTTCCTCTCTACAACTTGAACTACATAGGAGAGAAAAAATCAGTTACAGCTATGGAGTGCTTCCTAGTTTATGTTGCTAAACTGAGAAAGCAAAGTGGTCCTGTATGATTAAGAGAGGGAAGACACATTTATCATTAAATTTGAATATAGTTGGTTTCATTCTCCACTTACTTTTGTCAAGGTAGTAGATAGAAACAGAGTTATTTCTTACCCTGGAGGGGAACAGAAGTGGGCCCATTTCCGATGGTGTAGGGTGTCCTGCCTTCCTGCTTGGAAACAGTACCATGCTAGGGTTGGACAGCATGTGCAAACTGCAACTGGAAGTTGCTGGTTTAAAAGGCAGTAAATACCAGCCTGAAATGCCGGTATCCACAGCACTGCAGAAGTAAGGAGGGTTCTGCCTTTCAGTTTAAAAATGTCACAACTCCACAACCTGCTTTTTACAGTTCACTTAGAACAAGAAGATGCATGATTTGTGTTTGTGTTACCCACCGAATTAAGTATCTGAAAATGTATCTCATTTCTTTTTGCTATTTGTAGTACTATAAAAACAGAGGCAGATGCAGAATGTAAACATGGTGATTTATTTACACTTTCTAGAATAATTCTGTGGAAACACATGGACTGTGTTTGCAGACATGGAGATGTGTGTCAGAGTTAATTGCATTAAAAATTTTATTTCAGATAATGGGCACTGACTTCATTTTCCTACACTCCTAAGTTTTCTGCACTGTGGTAATTTTATCCTCTGTGTTTGTTAAAGGAATACATTTAGGTAGTCCTTTTCTCTAGCACTGCGTATGGTTCCTGACTACAGCTCCAGTAATTAATGTGGTAATTTAAAGTTACATCAACTACAAACTCTCATTACACTGTCCTAGTTAAACTCTTGTTTATGCAAAAGTATAATATTAGTTGAAAACCTTTTAAGCAGTCACAAATTACTCTTGTTTGCTCACTACCTCTCCTTTTTCTCTGGACCTTCTTGAAGTTCAGAAGCTACTAGTGTGACCAGGAGTATTCATAATCTTTCCTGTGGCTATTACTGCCCAAATTTTAGGGCATCTTATCACACTATGAGAATTGTTTCTGAGTGGTTGGCATGAATTTCTGTTCCCCACACTTCAAGTCTCCTTTTCTGCTGTTGTGAGTTCATAAAAGGTCACATTCTCTCTTGAGTTGGATAGAGAACATGGATATTCATGCATTATTTTAATCAAATACTACGTCTGACTCACATTACATGGTTAGTCTTGTGCTTTTTTTAGCTGAATTTAATGGTTACCTTCCAGGAGACACCTCAATAAGAGGAGAAATAGACTAAAACTTAATTTGGATGTGTTACACCTAACACTGAGTTGGGGAAACAGGTTATCAAGATTCATCGGTACATGAATAGATCTACTTGGGCAGTATATTAAATATGCCAAAGAAAGAGGCCAGATGGCTAAGTCAGGGGAAGGGGGGTGGGCAGCAAAGCAAAATAAACCCCTCACCTATTTGTGACAGGAATGCTAGCAACCCAGCAACATATCTCCTCTGGCACCCAAAGTGCTAATGTGAAGAGAGGTCTGAAAGTTTAAACAAAACCACCACAGTTGTTTGCTTAGCTATAATGAAGGGGACTTGGGCAGTTAAATGAAACAGCATAGGTTGAGTGAAAGAGACTACTGATTTGACAGGGAATAGGATCAGACCTGTCCCAACAAATGACAGAGCAGAGAAGAAAAAAGGAAGTGAAATGAACGCTAGCCTCAAAATTAATCTAGATTGCAATGCTAGTTAAAGAGTAATTACACATCAAACCCCTTGCAAATTCTTGGATCCACTGATTTTAAACCATCATCTCTCTCCAGAAAGAAAAGTATAATCTCAGAATCCTTTCAGAATTGCAAGCCTGGTAAGACTTACAGTTTACAGCTGCGAGGACTAGGTCAGGGTATAGCCTGGCCACTACAGGCCCATGGTGGTCTACTTGTATTGTAGGCTCTATTGCATGTATAGCTAAATCTCTAGCCTTTGGGTAATCTTGTTTCAGTTTTTAAGCCTCATCTAGCTTACTGCTGATATTTGTGCCTCATGCTCTCAGTTGTGCAACAATTCCATCAGAAGTGCAGTGACGCAGATGATGTATTCCACCACGTGTTCCTCTCAAATATTGATGAACAATTTTGCAGTATTCTTGGATAGCAGTTCTGATTTTTGGACAGTTCATCCTAAGGGAGACTATGGTATTTTTAAAAAGTTAGCCTCTGCATTTTTATGATCAGGGGTTTGAGAACCTAGGTAAGAGAAAATTGCAGAGCATCACAAAGAGAAATTTTTAGAAATCTCACGGAATTCTGAAGACAAAATGGAAAATGTGGATCATTTATGAAGAGAGGGGAAAGTGGAGGGAAGACTAATTTTTTCTTTTCACTATTGTAGGCTTAGTTTCCACCATGCTAACAGGAATAAACAGGTTGCTATTGGTGAGGATTGAACCTCAGCTACTTATCAAGACATGATGCATACAGGTTCCACTCTAGGAGTGTGATACTATTTTCCAGGTGAATAAGAAAGCAGTTCTGGAATTAAAATTTTATGTAAAGTTAAAATTTTGGCATGTATACACAAGGTGAGTTCAAATACGTCGGAGAGTTTTGGGTAGGTGGCAACATAGTTTACTCTTAGGGCTTAAAGGTATAGACCTCATGTATGAGGCTCAGCTGCAGCCTGAAGATCAGAAAGGCTCCAGCAGAGCTGTTTTCTTATATACAGCTACTATTGCACAGAAAGTTACTAATCACAGTATCATTTTCTGTCTCCTCCTTCTGGTTCTAAAAACCCTGCAGTGAAAAGCAAGCCAGCAAGCTTTTGCTAACCACAATATTTCTTTTAGTTCCCTTTCCATCAACAAACTTGTCTCTTAACATCACTTTCACCAATAGACAGTCATTGTACTCAGAGCACTTACCCCATGTTCTGTACCATCTTCTAAAACTTATCCTTTGCCAAAAAAAAATTTGACAGATGTACTCTAGAATATCTGTGTCATTTTTGAACATTTTAGGGAATTTAACAAATCTGACAAACGAGGGGAATTACAGTACTTGTACTTGATTTTTTTTTACCTCAGCTGTAACAAACAAGTGAAAAGAAGTTATCTTGACTGTAAGTCCTAACAGCCTTATCTGTGGCCTTATCTTCAGATAAATGATGGATTATACTAAAATTACTTTGAGCTTTCAAGTGAATTGCAACTAAAGGTAGGAAAATATCATGCTCCAAATGGCATGCTGTTAGTATTCTCTGTTGCACCATCATCTGAAAACTATAGATTTTGGGCTGTCAGGTGTCTTCTACAATTTTCATTCCATTTGGTTTTTGTTTGATAGCAAAACTGTCCAGGTATCCGCTATATAACAACGCTAGCTAGAATGCTTGGTTACTATTTGTGGTGTTTATCTCCTTTTATTGTAGTTGAGTAGCATTTCTCTTATAGGCACAGAAAATGGGTAATAACTGAGACGACCTCACAGCAGGAAGGTGAGATCAGATTGGCAATGCATCAGTGAGTGGCATGATTGAAGACAAGGTAAAAAGCAGGCTACAGGAAAAGGTAACTGGCAATATATAAAGAAACTGGTACTGAATTTGGGCAAGGTCAATATTTAGACAGTATTTCACTGTTTGAGGTGAAAGCTATAATTAGAGTTATGGCCAGAACAAAGAATGATTTAACCAAACGCCTAATTTCAGCTAATTCACCTATCTCTTTACTTCTAGGTCATACAAGTTTGTCAGTTACTAATGGATCGTTGGCTAGTGGAATCTAATAACCAGTAGATGAAGTATAGGAACAGAAATAGAAAACAAAACAGCATTCCTGAGTCCCCTCAGTTTTCTGAAAATTGAGAGGGATACACTGAATGACAGTACTGTGCTCATTTCTAGCTCAGAGGGACCCATGCAAATAGTAAAACATTCCAGAAAACCACTGACAGCTGTACTTTTATGTTGGGGGGCTTACGCAAGGGAGAAATACGCACTAGTTGACTTCCCTAAAAAATGTTCTGTTGGCAGTTATCCTCCATTTAACCCTGCTTTAGCATCAGCCCAGCCTGGCCAGACCCTTTGCTTGAAGCAGGCAGCACATAATGTGCAAAGATGCAGCCTGAACTTGTTTATTAAGGAACTGTGTATGCCCCTCCCAATCCGAGTTTCTAGAATGTGTTGCCTTTTCATTTTTTTCTTTATAAACTCCTATTGGTTTTCATCTTTTCTCCTTTCTCCCCTCATTCTTGTTACCCAAGCCTAAAAGTTTATAAAATTTTCCTTTTGTCCCCCCTACGAGGTACATTGGGCCCAAGAGTTGGTCTGCTACCACTCAATTTCTGGCAGTTGCTCAGGATTTCCTCCCTCCTCAGGTTCTTTACTTAATGCACAACAATCAGAAATGGAAAGCACAGGGCAGGAATCAACACCTAGCTCTGCTGTTAGATTTCTGTCTTTATTATTTTCCTCTTGGCTTTGTTATTAGCAGCTTACCATAACACAACTACAGTTTTTCTTTCTCAAATCAGTCTTTATTTCAGGTAAAAGATATTTCTTTACCATGTGCTTCCTAAAAAGCACTTCAAAGGAAAAGGGTTCAAAAATATTTTGCCTTTAAATACATCTTATAATGCTGTTCCATGTTCTTAAACATACCATCAAAAAAATTCATGTCAGTACAGGACAGCCACACATACAAGCATTTGCTCAGCTCAATTGGTAATTTTCCTAGAACTAAAGTAAAGCTCATGTGGCACCTTTTGGAGGGCACAGTGCTACCCTTTCCAGGCATCTGCGCAGTTATGTTTGCTTGAGAACCAGGACTGCACTTGGTTCAGGATGCACTGATTTACAGCTTAGCTCGCACTCTGGCTGTAACAGCCTTCTTGATTTTGCTACGTCTGTTGCTGGTCCTCAGTACCTGCAAGGATCGTCTCAGAGCCAGGACAGTAACGGGAGTTCACTAGTGAATTTTATTTCAAAATGGAGCAATAAATTTTACTTTGAAAAAAACAGGAAACAAGCTGTACAAATTTGGCAGAACATCTATTTTGGTATCATTCTATTAAGTGTGCTGCCTTCCAGACAAAGCACTAGGGATCATAGTATCTGTTTTTTTTCATGGGCGATAATACCTTTCACACTGACATGGATTAAGGTGTCTATATTTGACCTTTCATTCTCTTTGATTAACCCCTTAGCACCTCACTAGTCCAATTGACTTGTACAAAAATCACAGATACATTGCTTGTCTTTATATTTGGCTGCTCAAATTTTCTTATAGTCCTGATAATGATCTGCCCTTAACAGGAGTTTTGTGCAAGTGAAAGCACAATTGAGCCTCTATGTTTTCCATCTTTTACTTACTAACAGTTACAATGATACTAACTTCTCTTGGGCTTAGCTGCATTACCATTTTAAAAGACTTTTTTTTTGTCTGAATAAACTCTTGTACTTTACCATTTACTCATACTGTTTTCCTTCCTTTCTGCCTTTGGTTCCCTTTTTCTGACCCTAATGAGGTATTCATTAAGAAGCCTCCATGCTGATCCTTTGCCTTTAATCTTTTAACTTTTCCCTCCAGGCTGTTCCTAACATTCTCATTTAAGGAAGAAAAGTCTTTTCTGAGGCGTGGTGTGATATTTTCCCACTGTAAGGATATCTAAATTAATTATATAAAAGAAAAGTAATCAAGTGTCTCAATCAGACACACTGAACCAAATCCTGTTACTTACTGCTGAATTATGACACATGGAAGACAAAGCTTCCTCTGAATGAAGGTGTTGAAATCTAATGTCTATTTCCTTGCATAGAAATCCACAATACATTTGTGGATTTTGCTTCTCCAGTAAGACAAACACTATTTTTCAGCATGAATTCAAAAGAAGGAAAAAAACCCAAACCAAACCATGTTCAACGTGAGGTTTGTTTTCCCCAGAGCCATAATGCTTTGACTAATGGGAAGTTATGTAGAAATCACTAGCCATGGTATTGGAAGTATAGTGATAAAACTTCCACATTAGTTGGTTTAGTTAACATGACAGATACTTCAGTGATACTGCTATGTCTGTGTCCACATAGACATAGACATGCTGCATCTGCATGTGTGCTTGTTTTTCAGTTAATGGTTTCATTCAAGGGTCACTCTTAATGTTAAACTTAATGGTTTCATTCACTCAAAGCAAAAGCTTCTATCAGTCACTTTAACCACATTGGTGATAGGTAAGAAACAGTGATGTGATTTGTTAGAGGTTTTTAGAGAGGGAAAGTCTTTTTAGATAACAATGTGCAACATGAACTACTCTTAGCCAACTCGTCTAATTGCCATTAGATTAGAAAGTGGAACACCTCATTTGACAGAGGTCTCTCCATTTCTGGAATAAAAGCAGAGAATTTTAAGTGTTTCTTTTCCTCTCCCAGTTTCTGACAGATAAGCCATTGTTGCAGATGAAGATATTGCTCTGCACAGTGAATTTCTAAAACTTGTTATTCATTAATTTACACTTGCCTTCTATTTTTGCAGGGGGAGGGTGGTGGTGGCAGGGGGAGGTTGATGGTGGCAGGGGGAGTGAAAAAAAAGCACATCCTGCAGAAGGGACTGCGTATTAAGCCTGTAGAGCTCTTAGGTGCATCATGGCTTCACCCTGGTGATTTAGCTTAATGGCAGGAAAATGTCCTTTTGAGGATTAACATATACGTAAGGCCTCACACACATCAGAATGTTTCCATGCATGTCAAAATGTTACCGATCTGCTGCACGACCTGAAGCAGATTTATGTACGTAAACTCTCTTGTAGCACCTTTCTTACTGTTTGACAAGAAAGTACAGGAAGGCAGTTCCCTGTACCAGAAAAGTAGAAGTAATATTATCTTGCAGAGTTCATTGCTCATCATGTTATTATCTCACTTTTAACTAAGGAAAGTTGTTCAGGAGCTTAAGTTGCATACATAACGTTAACTTCTGCCTCTGCGTCTTCTGGCTTAGCAGAAGAAAAGTAACGGGACTGTGGGAGAGTAGGCAAATGAGACTGTGGTCTCTGAATAAACTAAATTACCAGGACAAAGCAAGGAAGCCTCTATTTGGACTAACCTGAAATTCCACAAAGAAGTCCTATGATCTCCCATCTTTGTCTACGAAGTTACAAGCTGCGTCCCTTACCCTTCCTCTTGCAAACATCTACACCTAGAGGAAGTACCAGAAACCTAATTAAAACATCACTTTTAGTAATTTTATACTGGTAACACCACTGATTTTGAGTTGCGTTTTTCACAGTAAAGCTGTAAAACAGAAAAAGGCCAAAGAACTTACACCTAGATTCAGAAAAATCCTTTTCTCCCAGAAGTAGGTGATTTGTTCATGGGGCAACAAATGCAGCTTTGACCTTTCAATTCTATTTTCGATTGCGATCTCTGCCAGTGACGGAGAAGATTCTGACAGTGATTGCATATTGCTGTGGGCATGTCACTCATACATTAACCATTTTAGAACATTATAATTTCTAATTCAGATGCATGAAATCCCATTTTCTGCTAAATTATGAACAACCACTAGTATAACCAAGAGTTTAAACTTACGTAAGTTTTACCTGTTCTGACCCAGAGACTGGTAAGTGTATACTTACTGACCTCACTCAGTATCTGAGTAGATTGTAATACCCCTCTTATGGCCAGTCCTTATCTGGCTATACCGATTTTTTTTTTTTTTTTTTTGTCTGCCTTCCTATAGTAATACTTATTTTCCATCCTTTAATGACACATGTCATTTTGTTATTTTAACATTCTTAACAGAATTTGGGAGACATTTTATCCTTTACCACATTTTTTTCTCCTGGACCAAAAAGCAGAAGGGGCCCACGTTTCACAACACAGTGTTTCATTTCACACACATTACATTGCAGTACAGCTACCTGTAATAAACTAAAAGGTATAACCATTTACCTTTGTCATTGGCTCATCTCAATTAATAAAAGCTGAGAGTGTGGAGAGTCTTCGTCATGGGAGGCAGGGGAGTCTAGAGGAGAAGTGAACCGTGTATCTGTTGCTTCCTCACAGCTGCCTGTGGGAGTAGCACCACGTCCCTGTAGAAAAAGAATCTGTGTTGCAGAAATTGCTCTGTCTCAGAGCCATGTTAAGCGATGCACATTTCTAATATTTTAGGCTTCAAATTAAAATACAACGTGTTGGAGTTTTATATGCTGCAAAATCTGTGAGGAAGAGCCAATACATACACGTGTCCTCTCATGTTCTGGAGTCAGCAACACAGTAACAGTTTGTGAGCAAGGAATCCCCATCAGACACTAGTATTTTGGGGCTCAGTTCTACAAGCCATAGTCTACGTGAGTAGCTGTTACTCTCAAGGCCCCAAAACATTACTTACATATAACTGTGATCATCAAATGATAAATCCCAGAATGCAAATAACAACCTCTAAAAAGGCAAAGATTTCATTCGACTCCCAAAAGAAAGATTTATGTAGCATTCCTGAGATTACTAACCTCTCACTCCTTTCTGCTGTAAAAATAATTTCCATATGCTGTGAATTTTCACTGTGTGTTCTAACAAAAG